CTGCCTTGCCTAGGGCAGCGCCAAAGTTAAATACACCGCTGCCTCCACTGCCTCTTGAGGCTCAGCTTAACATGTGAGATCTCTGTGGCTTATTGTTTCCTTGCAATGAGTGCACACAGACAATGTGTGATATCCTTGTGTGTGAAGACTGTTAGTCAATAATGTCTATATGCAATATATATATCAGCAGTAGGATGTTGTTAACCACCTATAATCTACAGGAAATGAATGCACCTTCTTTTCGAGTGGAGAAAAGAAATGATGGCACCATGCTTCTTCATTATTACTCTGACAGAAGTGGATTTTGTCATATAGTGCCAGGTATGAGCAGAGCTAGACATTCTCTGGTATTTTATGTGCTCAGAAAACATGTGAGTAGTGTACTAGAGGTGGCTCTGTGAAGTCCCAGACTGGCTAACTAGAAATACAGCATATGTCAAATGAGATGTACATTTGAGGCTGTCAGTCTAATTGCACCCTAATAAAATAGTATATTAGAGTTAGTGGACCTTTGTTTTTGGCAGCTTGCTATCATAAGGAGAAAGCAAAAGTACTTTCCCTCAGGTACTCACCGATACCAATTACCGATACTTTTCGTTAAACGGACATGTGACATTTTTTCTAAAACAATAGGGACTAATGATTTTAGGGGAGTCTCTTTATAATTATGAAGTACTGTAACTCAATCAGCAAAGGAGAATGGCAACCAGCAATAGAGATTATTCAGCAATGGAGAATGGCAACCAGCAATAGAGGACAACAAATGTCAGCAATCCATGATTATTCAGTAATGGAGAATGGCAACCAGCAATAGAGGACTACAGTTCCCATCAATTCATGATTATACCGCAATGGAGAATGGCAACCAGCTCACCAGGGCTGCGTGCAGCATCTCACCAGGGCTGCGTGCAGCATCTCACCAGGGCTGCGTGCAGCATCTCACCAGGGCTGCATGCAGATATAACCAGGGCTGTGTTCGGGTGTCACCAGGGCTGCATGCGGTGTCTCACCAGGGCTGCATGCAGGTTTCACCAGGGCTGCCTTTGGGTGTCACCAGGACTGCATGTGGTTCTCACCAGGGCTGCATTTTGGTGTCACAAGGGCTGTGTTTAGGTCTCACCAGGGCTGCATGTGGGACTCTCCAGGGCTGTACTGGTGGGTGCCGGGCTCTTCAGGGCTGTGTTCCCGTCTCACCACGGCTGGTGGGTGCCGGGCTCTTCAGGGCTGTATTCCCGTCTCACCACGGCTGCATGTGTGGCTCTCTAGGGCTGTACGGGCCAGTGTGGGGCTGTCCAGGGCAGTGCTAGTCCCGGGAAGTAGGAGGAGGATATGTGAAACTGGACTGGCACTGCCAAAGACAGCTATCAGGAGTTCCCCAGCAGGCTGCCTGAGGTCCCCAACAAGCATGGGGACTTCAGGCAGCCAAAGTGATTTAAAAATGTAAAGCGCCAGCATTGGTGCTATGTATCGGGGCATTTTCACGAGTACAAGTATCAGTGCATCCCTATTTTAGACAATTTATTTTTCTCTTTAAGGTGGTGCCAATATCATTTTATTCCCACATATATAGTGTAAATCTACTTCTTGTACTCTATGCTGATACAGCCACATCCTTCATCACAAATGTCCTCATACAGACTTGAATTGGGAAGGAAGTTGGAACGTCAGATCAGTTGTTTTACTAAGTGCTGATTACTGAGAGCACTGGATGTAACACTGGTGCCTATTAGACTGCACGGTATATTAAAGAGGAACTTCACCCTTATCCAGGCTGCATATGATTCTCTGCAATTTCAGTTGGGCTTTAATCTCCTTACCCTTCAGACGTGCCTGATTGTCTTTACCTGCTCTCACAGGGATAATAGAATCTGTGGCGAAAGATTTTTTTAACAGCGAAATAACCATGAGCATTGTCTATCAAACGGAGGAGAAAGAGCGCACTGGGAAGCGTGAACATGTTATATTTGAGGTTCTCCAAAAGACTGAAGGAAAGAAGAAAACAATAAAACCAAGGCAAGAC